ATGCTTGAGACTGCAACAGTGAATGAGGGAGACCTTGTGTGGCCTATCACAGAGAAGTATGAATCTGGGAGGGAGCACAGGTGTGCAGCAAATGATTGCAGTTACCCGTGACTTGAGTGACGGGGGAACATCAGAGTGTCATGAGAAAAGACGAGCCAGCCCCGCCCCCCCCACCAACCCTGGAGATGTCTCTCTTTGGCCGTGGCCTCTGGCTCCACTGTCCTCTGTAGTCAGGGAGCTGCTCTGTGAACCTGGTACACCAAGCAATGCCTATCAACCTGCCGACCTCTCTCCACCTAAGAAATAAAACATAACTTTCATTTTTCTCACCTCAACATTTGGAGATAACTCAGTCTAGACTTACTTATGATGTTTAATAAAATTAATTATGTATGATGACAAAAACTCATAGTATTTACCATGTACAAAATATTGCTTTCAGCATTTTATAAAAGCCATTAACCAAAGCAAAGAAAATATGTTTTCAAAGTTCTGGTTTACCTGTCAATGGCATTTTAAAAAATGATAATAGGGGACTGGGGATTTAGCTCAGTGGTTCTGCTGCCTGCCTCCCAAGCACAAGGACTCAAGTTCAGTCCCTGGTACCCCCCCAAAAATGGTAATAGGGTATCACATTTATGCATTTGGTGAATATCTGTTGGATTTTTATACTAATACCAGTTATACTTTTGGTGTGCTTGCTATGTCCAGACTGGGACTAACTAATGCATGTTTGGTTACTTTTTTTAAACAAGCCTTAGAGATTCATATTGGTATTTTTCCAATGTAAGAAAACTGAGCTCAGAAAATTTAAATGATTTTCCCAAGGTCTCAAAGCTTGTGAGTGGCTCAGCTAAGAATCAGACCGCAGCCTGTCTGGGTCTAGAATCAAACTAAAACACTCTCCTAATCCTTCTCTCCTAGCAGAAAAATATGTGCTGCCAGCTGCTAATTAAACCATCCTACTAGAGCTGCAAAGTGTTCTCCATCTTGGCAATCCCAAGAGTGATGCTATACTTTCAGAGAAGGGATTCAGATGTTTTTAAGGGTAGAGTGAAGAAAGACGTCATCTATGGAAAGCTTTACAGAAAGGATGAGAAAAGTAATGAAGAAAACTGGTCTTTACGAGATAAGACAATCAGAACAATATCAGGGCTTCACCCCGATGTGCCAGCTGACGAATTACAATCTCCTGGAGTCTCTTTCATATGCCTGTTAATTAAAAGCTAAATAACAAAGATAGCTACACCCTATCACTCTCCACAGCTTCATGACTATGAGTAATCATTTTCTAGAAAGTTTTTTTTTTGTTTTAGTTAATTTATTCTGAGTCTAAATACAGCCGTAATTTAAACTTGAAGTGTTCTAATGATATCATAGACACCAAGGATTAGCAGCACTGCCTAGATTGGCATAAGTGTTCAGCATACCTGAGAAACCACCTCCTGCCTGAACTTAGCAAGATCTCCAGTAGGACTGATACGATTTAGCGTTCTCTGCAAAAAAGCTATCACCCATATCCATTCCAGAAGATCACACAGATTCATTCAGTGAATAGCTATTACATATTTATAACAATGTCAGTTATGGTGTTCCAAGTGCTTGCTTTGTGCAAAGTGATGCAGCACTGCTAGGCAGCCTACTCATTTTTCTTTTTAAGCCATATTTGTTTATTGTTTCTTGGCTTGACACAGGAGCGTGTGTATGTCCTGCTTCATTTACAGCAAGCTGTAACAAGTAACTCTGCATGGTGCTTTAGATTTTCAGGTTTTCCTCACATATTTTAATTCAGTTCATTCCCCCAAATCCTACTCTTAGACCCCAGTATAATGTAAGCAACCTAAACGAAGAGACCTTATGTAACAGGCCAAGGCCAAAATAAAACACAGAAGAGCTGAAACTCCAATTTTTGATGCCAAACTAAGTTTTCATTCTGGAGATTCTCACTGCCCTGGACCCAGCACCAGTGCTGCCTTCCTGAGCACGCCATCTTTAATATTTGGCACTGCATCAGGCACAGAGTGGGTTTTAATTTACTATCTTTTAGATTATGAATGAATGAATAAACAGGTTTCAAGATTGATCTAATTCTTTCTTCAGTTCCAAACACAAGACAAATCTAAGATTGAATAAATTCCCCAAGGATAATTTGTTTTAGACTAAGAACAAGCTTCCCTTAATAGTATTCCACTGAAGCCAGTAATTTTTATTACGGTTGTTATCACTGCATTATACTTTTAACTCAGCAGGTCTGCTGTCAACTCACAATGCTTATTTTTATTTTAACTGTTCAACAGAACAACAAACATTCTGGTATCTGAGAGGGGGAAGAGTCTTGATTAGTTTCACACATGGTGGCCAAAGACTTCTGCTGAAGTGGAACTCCCAGGTGGTTAGAGAAACAGTGAACAACTTAGAGAACAGAAAAGAAGCACACTACTGACCCCTTCCCTGGAGTTCACTCTCCTTGAGGGTTGCAAAATGATAGCCTACCCTTCTAGCCTTTGAATTCTCAAGGTATCAAGGTCTGAATTCCCAGTTCCACTTAGTAATGATGCGACTCTGACAAATTTCAGGAATGCCTTCTCCTAGAATGTGGGAAGAGAATGCTCTTGAATGTGGAGGTTAAAAACAAAGAATTAAGAAATGTTATGTACATGTACCAACTCCCAGGACGAATATATTATTGACTACAAGCATATACTGATAAAGCAATGACTGAGAGCACTCGAACAGTTGCTGTGAAGAACTAGAACATACCACAGACCTTTGAATATTCATTTCCTCCCTTAGAGAGTGGGAATTTGTCACTGAAGCGATTACCTGGATCTCTTGACAGATTCTTTCAACATTTATTGGATCCCCAAATCTTACCACCTTTTAAAATTAATATTTTAATAATTGAATAATAGTATATGTGTATTTAATCTTTCCACTAAGCAGAATACTATCATAAACCAGACACACAGAGAGGGCAGAGATGAACTGGTAAACTATAACGTCTAAGTATGTAGCTTATTTTATAGCTTCTATTTGTCAAAAGATTTGAATTTAAAATATAAAATGACTAAACTATATTTTAAAGCTAATTGGTAAAATATAATCTCAGCTTGTTTTTTTTTTTTACCTTCTACATAGTTCATGAAGCTCAGAGCATTGTTTCTTCTGATTGTGTGGTTATATCTTTTGTTTTGGTATTTAATTAGTGCCTACTGCTGGCCGTGTTTTCCTTAATTTATAATTTCAAAAATTTTAGGCCCTTGGTACTCCCTGATTCTGCATCACAATCAATATACTAATAATAACTGTGACTGCCTTTTATTATCTGTAACAATGGAGGCCTTTTAAAATGAAGACACGATTCTGTTATTTTATCGGTACATTTTAGGTGTACAACATAATGACATTTGTCAATGGGCTTTGTACCTTTCTGTCACTTGATTCTTATTTTTCCCCCTTCTCTCCCTTCAACCCCTCCATCTCTTCCCTATTTTACAAAGATTTTTTCCATTTTCTCTAATTAATTCCATTCCCCTTCCCTTTCCCCTGTGCACCTTTTCCTCCTATTTCACATCAGCTACTATACATTTTCATCCTTATTTACACTTTCAGCTTCTCACACCAGAAAAACTATTGGGTATTTACACGTGTGTGTCCTATTATTTCACTTAAGAGAACTGCCTCAGTGTGCATCCATTTAGCTATAAATGCCTCTAATTTTGCATTCTTTATGATAAGTAGTACTCCATTTTATTTAAAAAAACACACACATGTTTTAGCTATTACAAACTGTGCTGCTAAGAACATGGGGGCACAATCTGCTGTAGTATGATTCTTTAAATTCTTTGGGGAAGATACCCAGCAGACGAATAGCTGGGTCAAATGGAACATCTCCTTCTAGTTCTTCGAGTTATCTCCATACTGATTTCCAAAGTTACTGTGATGAAGACACATGATTCTTGTTTTGTTTATTTTTTTAAATTTTTTGGTAGTGGGGACTGAACTCGGGACCTTCAACTTACAAGGCAGACGGCAGAACCACTAAGCTAAATCCCCGGCCCAAGACATGATTCTTAATGCGACATAATATAGTAATTTAATATTTTGAAATCACGAAGTCAATATTCATTTATTTTTAGTTCTGCAAGAAGACATCAACAGAGAAGGTTGGAGTCTCTGCATGACTGGCTGAATTCTGCACCAGCCTGGTGTTCAGCTGAGCCCAGTGTCCTATGGGAACAGTCTCTTCCTCCCCTATCCTGGCCCCTTCTCTTTCAAGTCAGTCTTATTCCCAACCACATCTCCACCACCAAGAGTCTTTCCATTTGTCCTACTCTTATTTTTTAATTCCTTGCTCTGGATTCTGTTATCTTGACAAGTCACATGGGACCTGCTTTATATGACTCACAACTGTTCCTTTACCTTATTTATATTGACATGGCGAATGTAAGGTAGTATCTCATCACTGTGTATTAGTTATGAAGTAACAGTAGAAGGAAATTATACAAAAACACACCTCTCTATGTAGCAAGCATTTCATAATTACACATTATTTTAGTTCTCCTTTTATCATTAATTCATCAGTGCTTAAGCTACTATTATTATAAGTGTAATTCAGTAATTAATTCCCTGACTCTTTTATACCTACTACAGTTTAATTTTTTATGTTCATATCAAGACTATAAATTCTTTTAAAGAATGTCATGTGTCCTATTTTTCCATGTTTTAAGTAGAAATAATGGAAGGTGTCTGAGGAATAGTCTATCACAAGAGCATATGATAGGAACCCTCTGGAGTTGGATTATTATAGCATTTAATAGATGCTAAAAGTGAAACAAAAAACAGCTCATAGTGGCGTAGCCACAGTTCAAACTCAAACAGTTTAATAGCATAGCTTGCCGTAGCATAAATACAATTTCAAGCGTCTGTCTTAGCTCTTGCATTGTAAGCACCAGCAAAATCTTATTTTCAATGTCTTCTCTGACTCTTATCCCTTGCAGATGGACCCCCATGAGAATATTTTACTGAGCACTCTAGAGATCAAAAATGAGATGGCCACATCGGAGGCTGTGATGGGACTCGGAGACCCTAGGAGCACAATGCTGGCTTATGATGCCTCCAGCATCCAGTATCGGAAAGCTGGGCTGCCCAGGCATAGTTTTGGCCGAAATGCTCTGGAACGACATGTGGCACAAAAGAAAAGTCGCCTGCGGAGACGCGCCTCCCAGCTGAAAATCACCATCCCCGATTTGACTGATGTGAATGCCATCGATCGGTGGTCCCGCATATTCTTCCCAGTGGTTTTTTCCTTCTTCAACATCGTCTACTGGCTTTACTATGTAAACTAAAATATGGCCTCCCATGGGAAGCAAGGACTAGATTCCTCCTCAAAACAGTTGTACAGCCTGATGTAGGACTTGGAATAACACATCAATCCGGGACAAAAGTGATGCTAAAATACCTTAGTTGCTGGCCTAACCTGTGGTCCATTTCATACCATTTGGGTTGCTTCTGCTAAGTAATGACTACACTAAGGTCCTTGTGGTTTTCCAGTTAAAATGCAAGTGATCTGTACACTTGTGGGAAAAACTGAAGCTGAGTGTTCCACTTTATCCGCTTAACACATAGCCTACTCAGAGGGGAATATCTAGATGATATTCTGAGACAGCTGAAGAGCATCGTCAGTCATTTCCTTGGCATGGTCATGTTCAGATACTTTGCACCTCATTCCTAAGGTTGACAAGCTGTGGAGAGAGCACTGTGCCTATGAAACATTATGTGTAGTATCGTTTGAGCAGTTATCTCCAAGATGGTCTGTGCTGGTCTTCTTGCGACAATAATGGTGTCATGGGAAAATAACTCCCACTGGAATAGTAATTTCTCTCTCATGAAAGTGGAACAGTATCAGGGTGGGGATCTGGAACAGGGGACAAGGCAGAGATTCAGGAAACCAACTAGGCCTATCTCTTGCTGACGTGAGCACAAGGAATCAAGAGCAAGAATGACTTTCATTTCAGCATTTAGACATAGAGAGAATTGTGAATATTACCATGCACAGCAGTCAAAATTTGTTTTGCAAAAAAGCTGTTTAGTAGGTAGCTAAAAGAAGAGGCAGCAACACAGAGCAGGGTCAGAAATCCAGAAATGACTATTGTAACACAATTGAAGCAGGTGAGCAAGTATGGCCTTTATCAGCTCCACTCAGCATCTGGTCTACATGCACTGTGTCCAGGAGAAAGGGTAGAGTGAGAGGTATTGATTTTTCAAACTCAGAAGTTTGTGACAGCATACCTACAGAGGGTTTTACAGTTTATCTGACCTAAAGATGGCCATGAAATAGTGAAGTTAGAAGAATCAGAAGTATTGGAGATGTTCGGGTTTGATTGGACATCATTCACATATACAGAAATAGAGCCAGGCAGAATTAGCAGGTTGCTTCTTCCCAGACAACAGCAGCTGTTTCGTAACATTTCCATATAATTTTACTTCTGAATTTAATAGGGTATTTCAAAAGGAGGATATATTCATTGTTTTGTAGCTTTTCCAGCTTCTAAAATTCTGACTATATTCTTAGGTGATGGACACAGTATAATCTCGGAGAGATTGAGTGAACTTTATTTTCACGATGAATTTCACTATATTTTAAAATGAAATTTACCTATCTTTTAAAGCAAACATTACTTGGTTGGGTATGTGCACAAAGACCATTAGTTTCCAGGTTTGTTGGTTTTGGGTTTTTAAGGGTGCTTACTTTGTGTATATTGTATTCTGCTCAAATATATAAAAACTGGTACACAATAAGATAACAGCAAAGCTACATTAATGAGATAAGTGTTAGGAGCCTCGGTTACTATTACAGAAAAATTTATAACTGACAATCAGGCTGGTATGCTGTATTATTTTATTATATTTTTAAATATCATTGTGCTTTCTATAATAATTGGACATATGCATTCATATAATGGGCAGAAAAGAGAATAAGCTAATATATTTTATTTCTATCAATGTGAGGCTCAAATTTTGGTTTTCTGACAGTAAACAGAGAACTGCTAAATCTTCCATAAAGTTTGATTTGACGGTACTTTTCTCAGATGATTACTTTGCTATTTATCTTTCTTAAAAATGCCTCCTCTTTACAGAGTAATGTCCCTAATTATGCATGGGAGCAAAGACTAGTACCTTACAGTGGACAAAATGATGCTTTCTTTCCTTCATGATTCAGTATCTTGGACTACTATGAAGCCTCTCTGTCCTTCCATCCCAACTATCAGAGAACAAATATATAAAAATAAAGATTTATCCTTCAACATTTTGAATTTACTCCAAGGCGAGATGGTATTTTTGTCCACCGGTGTAAGGAAATCTCACTCTTACCATTTGATTACATATTTGAATATCTCTTAATGTAATATTTGCACAGAATCTAACTAAGCTTCCTCCATCTATGCTCAGAGTAGAGATTCCTGAATTTTCTATAGGGACACAACTCTTCTTAGGCAATCATTTTTAGACATCACACTAATAAAAGTGCCTACCCCTTCTCACCTGGGGGTAAAGTCTGAGTAGAAAATAACAGGAAGGAGCATATCAATAACTCAGGGGCACAACTCTAAAATGCCGCTTTGGGATGGTTTTTCTAGAGACAACTCAGAGCCTAAGTTTATAACTGGGCTCTTATTTGCAATTTCTGTAAAAGCCATAGAAATTCTTGGTATTGTCATTTATGATTACACCATCATTTTGGATGTCTAGGGAAGTCAACAGAGCAATCTAGATCAAAATGGAGAGAGGCATCTTCATAGCGTGAGCCTCAAATGCATGTGACCAGGAATGCACTTCTGCTATCCATGATGCAAAGAAGAAAAGATGAGACCTTGGAAAAAATCTCCTAGGGAGAAAAATAATGCATTCATGAACCATGTAGATAGAAAACAATCGGCTCCTCCTGATCAGAAATAGCAGTAGTTGGCAGAATGTATTCTTCTGTCGTGAATTGGAATGAAGTTGTCAAATGCTAGGAAGGGTGCTAGGCCTGATAAATCTAGGAAGACCAGCCAGTTTGGTAACTAGTGGCTAAACTAAAGGACCACAAAGGTGCACTTTGGCAATTCTGAAATGGTCTCACTATCAGTTTATACATATGTACAGTTTTTCTTTAGATTATACAACAGCCAGATAGCCAGCAATTAAGGTGTTTTTCATCTCTGTGAAACACATAGGCAAATTCTGACTATAAAATGCACAGTCTACACAAAATCTTTGATCTCAATCTGTGTGTGTGTGTGTGTGTAAAAAAAAATATATATATATATATTGTACATGACTGCTAGTAGGTATGAAATGCATTTCAGAACTGAAAACCCATGCAACATAATCATGTGTTTGCATGGGAATGTTACAGTTCTTTCCACTGGAATTTAATAACAGGAAAAGACTCAATCAGTGCCATCTAGATATTTTCTCATTCCTTCAAAAGCAGTGCTAAGTAAAATAATGATGATTTATAAACCAAAAGACTTTACATTTGAGCACTAGGAACACAGAAAAAATCTGTCAGCTTTCAAAAGCACAACATGTAAAGAAAGTACAATGGAATGTATAAAGAAATGAATTACATTTTTTAAAGCAAGACCTGCATTAAATTGGCAAACAAGACAATTTCCATTTTCTATAGGTGACTGTGTTCCACTTTGATGATTAACTTCATATTCAAGAACAGAAACAGGAAAACAACACCAGTAAAAACAGGTCTTACAACATATGTATATATGTGTATATATAGATCCATGTAAACATACGAACATATATATGCATTCATATGTTGGAAAACAAAAGGAATAAGCTAATATGTTTTATTTCCTTTATTAAACCCGTATATGAGTATTTTTAATTTGGCAACCAACAATCAACACATTGAAATAAGTAATACAGGGTACTGAGCGAATCTCTATCAGCAAATCAATGCCTACAGTTCTTACAAAACCACTGCACAGTTTGACACTATAAATAGTACTGTACCTCAGAACATAGAAGTTAGCTAGTTCTCATGTTGCTTGTCTAATTGCTCTCTTTTTCAAGGATATAAATAACTTTGTCCATTGGTAATTTTTTAAAATATCTTAAGAAATGAAAAAATGATGAAAATTTCTCCTGGACGGAAGAGAAAAAAAGAGGGAGAGAGAAAAAAAACTAAACCTACCATGTCAGTTAGGGAAAAATACAACTGTAGCAACAATACCGTTTTGCTAATTGTACAGAATACATGTTACGTGAGCAATCATAACTTTCACTGAGCGTGTGTAAATATTAAAACAGATTTCTTAAATATTTTTAACTTCTAATTTGTATCTTATGGTAAGGCAACATGCTAATTCTGTTTATGGCTTAAGTCGATGTGTTATAATATCATGTAAATAATTAAACATGCTGTAAATGAATAGTCCATAGATATAAATAATTGTTTAGATTTTTTCCCTAAATTTTTATTTGGTTTTACAAAGTACAGTAACTGGAGTGCCCCACAGAGTAATTTAAACACCCTTTTGCATAAATAGTTTGGGAATCTCAGAAGGGTTTCAGTTTGCTCACTGAATCTTTCTTTCTCTCTCTCTCTCTAACACATAATTTTTCACTCCTTTGCTTTCTCACTCCCATTCTTTCCCTCTTCAGAAGAAACCCTGTTGTGATTTTTGTCATCAATGTAAGAACCAAGAGACAGCCTTAGAAATGGAAAATGGGAAAAAAGGATCACTGAAAACAGATTTTTTTATATGTCAGAGTACAAGAAACCAAAGTTTTCACTTTAAGTCTCAATTTTCACAAAATAAAAGTTTGTATTGATGGCACTATAGAAAATAAAAATGCTTCTTCATAACAACTCCAGAAATTTGTTACACAAAATGCATACTAGACTTTTTTTTTTAATAGTAGCATTTTGTCCTTAGCTAGTATTGTTCCTTTCAACCAAAGACTCCAGAATTATTTTTTAAAGGAAAGAAAAAAGAGGAGAAATGGAAAAAAAATGACACTGCTTCACACCAAAGGTTTAAAAAACATATTCTAAATGCACTAAGAAGACCATAAAAACTAGGAAGGAGTCAACAGAATGCTAAAGAAAATACTGTCCTAAAGACATCATTTTCAAAACCAGGGGAGGGAGAAAGCCGCACTCAAACAGCTTAGAATTGTGGAAATTTGAAGACCATTTCTGTTGATAAGTGCAGAATTCTGACATGAAATTTTTAACTTGCTTTCAGAAGTCTTTTTGTGATAAATACGATTCAAAATAATGAACACACAAACTTCATTCTTTGAGTTCCAAAACCAAATGTCACCTCTGTCTTATGTCCTCTGAGCTTATGCCCACGTCTGTGTTCTTGAACCATTTGAAACAAGCTGACAATTATATCAGTTCATATCAATTTTTTGTTATTCAATACAGAGTTTGTCTATGTCAATATTAAACATAATTAATTCCAACCTGGTTACTTATAATTTAAATTCCATGATATTTTAAATTTTATTTGCATGGGTGTTTAAATGGTTCTGTTGTGAATATTGTCCCTGCATAGTTCTCAACTGTCCTTTTATAAAAAGTGATATTCTAGTTTCTTCACAATGTAGTGATTACCAGCCTTACTAATTACCTTGTAGCCTTTCTTAACATGCACATAATGCACATTTTCCAATGGCTAGAAAATGCAAAACATAAGTGGATATCACTGCATCTATTTTCATGTCTTTCTAAAAACAAGACTACTCAATCTCTGGGATACATGAGATAGTAAACAAATGAAGATTATTAAAGAATAGCACATAAGAATTATTTTCTTGAATATAAACTTACTGCAGCCAGTCTCAGCATGTAAATATATAATAATGTTGGCTAGTGTGTAATTCTTGAACTAAGAAATATAAATAAAAATTAAAAGTCAGTGTGTTGTTTCATTGTGTCGATTATTTTTAAGAGTTTTAATGTGAGTTATGTTG